GTTGGTATTACACTCTTGTAGACTTGCCCTTTTATAAATGACGTGTAAATAGTTTTCCACTCCCCTCCCTGCTCCAATGCCTATGGTCTCTCTCTCTTGTTTTTGGTCCAGTACATTCTGTTTCTGTATATGACTTTGTTTTTTGAATCCACATCTCTCCTCCGTAGTATTTTTTAAATAAATGTTTACATTAGAATGTGTGCGGATTGCTTTGGTCTGTAACTCTTTCCTGTTGCCCAGAGCTGTGGTGTGGGTCGGAGGGAGGGCGCCCTTGCTTTCTGGAGGGGCTGGAGGCCCCGTGTTGGGTTTTATGGGGCAGAACAATGGCAGGATCCCAGCAGGATCCTGCGGCCCGTGTCACCTAGGCCGGCCGTTCTCAGGCACTTGCCCTGCCCTCGTCTCCAGCCCTTCCTGTGCCCTTGACACTTCCTTGCCAGCAGCCCAGCTCTTGTCAGTGGTGCTCTTAGGGCCACTGCTGACTGGCATGGCAAGGAAGACCAGCCCGAGGGCTGAGCCCACTGTCAGGCCAGCATCATGGCAATGGGAGGTGCCACGTCCCTGTTCCTTGCTGGCCTGAGAGAGTTCATCCCTCCACTCATGCTCTCTCCCTTCGCCTTTGAACTCACTTTCTGCCGCTGCCCTCAGCCCCGAGACACCCCTCGCTGTGTTCACCACACCAGGCACCATTGCTTTGTGTGTATGAGGACAAGCAGGGCCTGCTTCCTGCGAGGGCATGGAAATACCACCCTGGGCCCTGCCTTGGCCTCTCCCAGCCCCCAGCCAGGGGCTGACTTTTCTCATCTGGGTCTCCATCTGACACCCGCTGACAGCCAGGAAGTGGAGGCGGGGAAGTGAGCGGCGCCCTGTGGTAATGATACTTATTAAGCCAGCAGGCTTGTCAGGGGTGCGGATCCTGCTCATAAGGCACAGCGATGCGTGAACCTCCTCCCCCCGAGGCCTTGGGCGCAGGACGGGTGCGCGCCACGTGGTGGAGGTGAAGACGCTGCCTGGGATGGGTTTGCAGGAAGCCGCCTGCGCCTGCGCAAGCCGAGGTCAGGTCTCCCCTCACTTCACCGAGGAGAAGGCTGAGTCCAGGCTGCAGAGTCTCTAGTGGTTGAACCATCACTGGGCACCCGCTTGCCCAAGTCCAGCTTCTCCACGGGCATGAATGACAGCTCTCAGGTCTGAGAGAGGGTGGGATGGGTGTAACGACAGCCTGTGTCAGACGTGGACTGGTCGTGGAATTGACACAGCAGCCTCTTGGACGGTGTGTTGTAAGACCCTTCTCCCAAATAAGATTCTTCCTTGTAATCACCTGAACTTAAACTTGGGTCTGAACTTGTTTGGGTCACAGAACCCCTTGAGAGCTTAATGCACACGGACCCTAGCCCCAGAGAAACGCGCATGTGTGCGCACACAACAGTTCTCAGGTGATTGTGACTTCTGCCCTCGAAGTCCAGGACCAAGGAGGACCCAAGGGCCAACCCTGCCCATAGGGCCAACGCTGTTGCCATTGTTACCACAAAAGAGCCTAAAGCGTCAATTTTAGGATAGGCACATTGTGTTCACGTAGTGGAATGTTCTGGAACAATGAGACTGAACTCGGCACTGCCACACCACAAATGTAATGTTGAGCAGGGGTAGCCACGCGAACTGGTGATGCCGGAGCTTTCATCGCTTCGGTGGGCGCGGCTCATCTGCGGGATGGTGTGTGGTGTCAGGGTGGAGGGTGACCTGAGGGAGGGGTCATGCCAGGCTCGAGCACAGGCAGCTCTGGGAGCAGACGGTGCTCTGCTTGGAGTGGTGCTGGCCGCCGGGGTGTCGCCTGGTGAAAGTCCCTCAAGCTGGACACTGCCAATGGGAGCACATTCTCCCGGTGCTGTGTTTCAGTGGGAGCTTTCTCAACATCCCCGCTCACGTGAGCACCCCAGCTGCTTACAGATGTGCCCTCCGTTCCCACGTGCAGCCCTCACGCCCGTGTCCTGTGAGGGAGGCTCTGTGGCCGGGCTCCTTTGCTGGGTGAGGAAGCTGCGGCTCAGGGATGTGAGGAGCTCACCCGGGGTCACCCAGCATGTGCGGCCTAGCGCTGCTGTGCGGGACTGACGTTCTGGCGGGGCAGGTGGCCACAGCACGACTCACAGAGACCTGTGCTCCGGGGCCAGCTCCTCCCTCCCTCCCTCCCTCCCGCATGGCAGAGAAGCAGTTACAAATTAGCTCCCTCGAGTTCTTGGGTTTCAAGGTATTTTATAGGAGCCATTCCCAAATCCGGTGCTCTGGGAGATCAGTTTCCAGGTGTCTTGGCCCAGAAGACACTCGGTGGGACAAGCCTGACCGACCACTGTCCCTGTCCGAGCCCGCCCTCATCCCTGGTGTTCACCCAGCCTCGTGGGCGGGGCTCCACAGCGCCCCATCTGGGTTGGGTCTTCGGTGGAACGTGTCAGGCAGCGTCTTGGGCACTGGGGCCAGTTGGGACGCGGCGGCCCCTTGTCCACTACAGCAGCTGCCTGATGGCTTCCTGCCCCCAGGAGCCTCTTCTCTTAAGCAGTTTAATTAATATTTCAAACACATGGGAAAACATAGACGGAAATATTCCCCATCCAGGTTTGTAGCTAAATAAAGACCTTTAGACCTACACCCAAGATGAAGACTTTTTTGTGTTTTAAGTAAACTTGGTGAGCGATGCCAACTGCTCGGGGACCCTGTGCTGGAGGGGAGCCACTCTGCTTCCAGAGCTGTTGGCCAGGAGCCTGTCCGTCTGGAGAGGAACCTTCCCCACCAAGGAGAGAGCGGCGGGCGCGGGAGTAGCCTGGGAGGCCCCAAACCTCCACAGAGCCCGTGGGGTCGAGTGGGCTGGGTGAGAGAGGAGATCTAGCCACACGGATCGGGAGTGGATTTGACGGGCGAGTGCCCTTAGCAGCTGGGTTGTGCTGATTTTCAGGGTTATTGGGCGCGGATGTCCTGGCACCTGGGAAGGGAAGCCCTGTTGTTGATTCCTGTTTAAAGGTGGGAGCCTAGTGACAGGACACCCGTAGCCTTGAAGGCCGCCTCTCCCCTTCACCTCTGCTCTCCTCGTGGAGGTTCCTCGAATCTGACCCCGCAGGAGCGCCGCAGCCTTGGCGACTCCACGGCTAATAATGCCTCTTCTTTTAAGGTGCGCGTTTCCAGGTTCTCGGCTGGGAATCAGCAAGTGAGGCCGGCCAGGAGCCCTGCCGCCGTTGGCCCTTGGTCTGTCTGACCTGGTCTCGGGAGCACGCTCCCTGGTTCCCGTGTGGGTGTGTGCATGAGCTAATGGTGATCCAGGTTGCTGTCTCCCACCCCCGCCTTGGCCAGGTGGGAATGCGTACCCACGGTGAGACGGCTGGGCTGCCATGGTGCTTGTCCCAGCTGCCACCCTAGGACAGGATCTGAGCGCCGGAGCTGTCCTTTATGGACACGCGGCTTGTTTTGAGGTTTGTCCTCCGTGGCTTGAGGGCTGCCTGCCTCTGTTACCAGCAGACAGAGACCCGGGCGGCGAGGGTGGGGTGTGTGTTCCATCCCCATCGGACCATTACGTTAGCAGGAGGAGCCCTGGATCGCCCCCTCCGTGGACGTGGTGGAGGTGAGAGGACCATGTGCCTCCCACACTCGGTCTGGTCCCTCAGCCACCCGGAGCCCCAGGGCACCTGGAGGAGCATGCGCGCCAGGGGGAGGCTGCTGGCCGCAGCCTAGCCCATCCCATTGTACCACCCAGTTCGCCCCACTCGGCGCTGGTGGCTCAGAGCTGTGCACCCCTCAGTGAAGCGGCTCTCTAGCTGCCAAGGATGGAGCGCGGCTGCTGGGGAATGTAAGTCACTAATAGACTGGAAAACACGGCGAAATGCGCCACGGTGCCAAGCTGGGTCCAGCCCAGTGTGGTCCTAAAAGGCCAATAAAAATCCACCAATTAATTGTGACAGCTCAATGGAAAATTATTCAGTTGCGAACAGGGGCAAGCAGCAGCTCCCAAGGAGGAAGGGAGATGTTGTCATGGTAACATCAATACAGGTCTTCTCAGCAGTTGAAGCAGCCAGGGAGTGAGAAGCGTCAGACTGCGGAGTCTGACACAAGACAGGTGTGTGTGTGGGGGGGGGGGGGGGGGGGGGGGGGGAGAACACATCAGAGCCGCGTTAGTAGCGATGCTCCACCTCGTCCCAAGCTGCAGCCCCTCCAGCCGGAGCAGGCTTCCCGGGCAGAGAGCTGGCTTTCAGAGTGCTCCCCGCTTGGAGGAGGCCAGGGAGGGGCAGCCGAGTGCAGGAGGAAGTGCACCGCGTGTGTTCCCCTCTCCCTCTGACCACAGGCATTTTACCAGCAGCCAATTAGGGGGTGCTGGAGGTGTGCAGCTGCCATCTCCCCAAAGTGCAGGCACTGGCAGCCCAGGAAGGCCAAGTGCCCAGGGCACAGAGGACCTCCAGGCGAGAGGCAGGCAAGCTTTCCCTTAGCGTTTGCAGTTGTTATAGCTTTTATTTCAAAAGGTGCACACACCACATTTCATATTCGGAGCATTTGCAATGCAGCCTTGCTGCAGCAGAAACGTATTTCTTGTCCGTCTCCCACGAGAGACTGGACAAAGGCGGTGCCACCGAGCAGGGCGGTCATCAGGAGGGAGTGGGCAGCTCGGCACCGCAGCAGGATTCTTGCCGGAGGGAACGTGTGTTAATGGGGTGAAGATTCTCATTTCTAACTTTCAGAGCCATACTCGGCCCAGTGGAATGCACTCATCCGCCATTGCACTTGGATGTCCGCTCCAGACATCACCATGGAGACTGTTAAAGCTTTGATTGCCCCACTGATCAGTCTTCCTACCTGCAGCTCGCAGCCCGCGCAGCCAGCTGCCTGTTCATGTTCACGACCAGCAGGGCCCGAGGGACCTCAGAACCGCCACGGGGCAGCTTGCTTTTGGTCACCTCCTTTTGGACACGACGCGGGTTTTTGCTTCCCCAAAGTTGGAAATCAAAAGCACCACCAAACCAGTCCTCCAGCTAATCATTTATTACAGTAACACCACCCCTTTTCAGGCTCTTTGAGGCGGGGAGGGGGCCGAGGGGAAACCCTGGGCAGGCTGTCCCGGGCCCTTCACCGCCGGCCGAAGCGGAACCTGAAGCCGCCTTTCTTCTTGCCGTAGCCGCTGAACTCGTCGGCCAGCGTCCCTAACGGGCTACTAGCCTTCTCGCCATTAGCCAGGAGGAAGCCGGCGACCCCACGGCCGTCATCCTGCCTCCTGAACCGGAGCCTGAAGTCGGCATGCGCTCGGCCCAACATCTGCAGCTCCTTGGCCATGGCGAGCTGGGCTTGTGGGTGTGGAGCTCTCGGCCACTGCGAGGAGCCCCACGGGAAGGGGGCTGCGTGTCCCCCCGCCAGGTCGGCCCAGCTCATTCCGCCTCCAGTGCCCCCCGTGGTGTCCATGGGCACTTCTCCATCCAGGAGAGGAAAGCAGGCGGCCAGCGGCAGGAGGAGGAGGCAGGACAGCAAGTGAAGGCGCATCATCTGGCCCAGAGGAAAGAGGGAAAAGTTACAGGCTGCTCCCGTGGACCCCGCACAGCACTGGTCAGCTACTTCCCAGGGCCCGGGCAGCCATCAGAGGCGTAAGCTGGGGGCTCAGCGGGGCCCAGCTTGCAAGCAGCAGGAAGAAGTGTCACTGCGTCGGGGACTGGGCTTGTATTCCATAGCAGGTGTAGGCGCTGGTTGCACCAACTAGCTGGTCTCCCTCTCCTGCCATCTCTGGGTTTGGCGGCAGTAACAGTGGAGGTCTAATCCCACCGCGGCCAGAGTGGCTCACAGCAGCACACAGGCAGCCCAGGAGAGCTGTGCGAATTTGGGTTCGTTCTTCTCTCATTGTAAGTATTGACTCTTGAGCCATATCCACTCAGCCTCGCAGCAGCAAGTTTATAGCACAACCTCTCAGTTCCAACTTGGAAATAAATGGGTCCCGCGAAACTGTTCAGCTGGGACGCTGCTAATGTCTCTCTCCCTTGGAAACCAGTTGCTCCCAAAAGCAGGAAGCAGATTTGATGAACCTGGTCTAACTCAGACACCCGCCCGGAGAGGAGCATGGCTGGGGCACCGGTGGTCCCCACTTCATCTTCACAATAAACCTCACTTTTAGGCACTGTTATTTCCATTTTCCCACCAAGAAAACAGAAAGGCTAGGCCAGTGGTCGGCAAACCGCGGCTCGCGAGCCACATGCGGCTCTTTGGCCCCTTGAGTGTGGCTCTTCCACAAAATACCGACTTCTGAGCATGGGCCACGAAGTTTCAATCGCACTGTACGTGCGCACCCACACATGGTATTTTGTGGAAGAGCCACACTCAAGGGGCCAAAGAGCCGCATGTGGCTCGCGAGCTGCGATTGCCGACCACGGGGCTAGGAGATTGTGCCAGGTCACACAGAAAGTGAAGGGCTCCTGACTCGTGGCCTGTGGGCATTGCTTTCTGTCCACGGCTCAGACTGCCCTTGCCACCCCCCTCATGGTTTTCCTTACCCCTTTTCAGGGAGGCAGCAGGCCCACACCAGGTGACTGGCCCCAATCTCCCAGCTTTACTGTGACAGCAGGGGCGGGGGGGGGGGGGGTAAACCCATGCCTAACTGGGCTTGGCTCAGGAATTGCTACATGGGTGGTGATACGAGGGGGGTTTGAACCCGGATTAGAACTTCCAGACATGCTCCTGCCTCAGCCGTGATTGCTGGGTCCCTCGCAAAGGAAGCCTTTTCGGTAATGACCGTGGGAGTCAGGTTGGCTGGCCCTCTGAGAACCGAGGCTGGAATAAAGAGCTGGATGGGAGAGGACACCCGGTTCCCTCCAAGACATCCCGAGTGAACTATGCAAGCAAGCCTTACAGAAGTCCCAAAGCAGCCTGGGGCTGGAGCCGCCTCAGGCCAGCTTCAGGGAGCCCCTCCCCTGGGCCTGGGTGACCCCGCTTCCCACAGGTGCCCCTCCCACAGGAAGCACTGCTGCAGCTGCTTGAACTGGAGGCACCCTGAATGGTGGATGGATCCGCTGGGGGATGGCCTGGGCCGCCGGAAGGGGGACCCCTCGATGCACAGAAGGAAGTGGCCCTTCTCAGCTTTTGGGGTCATGGACCCTTTTAAGAACCTGGTGGAAGGTTGGGACGCTCGAAATTGGGTCCCAACTTCCAGGGTGTGGCTGGAGGGGCCTGGGGTGGGAGCCCAGGCGGGCGAGTGTGAGCTCTGGCTGCAGGGTGAGGGCTGTCCCCCTGCCTGGCCCAAGGGGCTCCTGTGGGAGCGGAGGCTGTACTCACCGCTGCAGGCTGCTCCCTGGAGGCTGCGGGCTCTGGTGCAGGTGTGCCCGGGCCTCCCTGCTTTATGTAGCTCTGCGGGACTTCCGCCTGCGCTTGTGACGGCCGCCCGCGCCCTGATTGCCGCACATTCCTGGCCCTGGGATTCCATTGGGATCGCTGCTGGCGGGGAGAGGCGGGCAGTGTCCGCTGCATTGACGAAAGACTGACACAGATGTGATGAAGAGCCTCCTCGTTGGCGTGTAATAAACGCCCCAGGGCTTCGGAACAATAGAAGGTTACAGTTAGGTCATCGCAGTCTCTGGCTCTGTGGCAAAGAGCACAGCTCCCTCTTAACATTTTTTTATAAGCAGGTCATGGCTTAGCCAGGGGTGAAGAGCCTAACCTTTCTAAGGGATGAGCCTGTGACCTTGCGAAGGTATGAGTCTGTAACCTGTGACCTTTCAAAGGTATGAGTCTGTGACCTTTCAAAGGTATGAGTCCACATGGAGCGACGAACTTTGTGTGTGTTTAGCCAACCGTTTTTGTGGTTTTTGTGAATAAAAGCTTACTTCTACATCTGGTCGGGGCTGCAGTTCGGTCCTTGCTCCGGTGGAGAGCTGTAACTGCAGTCACTGGCCAGCTAATCAAGGCTCCTAAATTCTACCCTTTGGCGATGGTGGTCGTCTCTTACGGGTTGCCCCATAACATTTGGAGACCCCAGCGAGTTAAAAATCCAGCCTTGTTGCCAGTGGCCGCCCCAGTAAAGGAACCTCCAGTCTCCGGCCCAGGTTCCAGGGAGGCAGAGTCTTTTCCTCTAAATTGCGATCCAAAAGAGCTAGCCACCTGGACCTCCAGTGGGGAGGTGAGAATCTGGTTTCTGGTTTCTGGTTGTGGAACGTTCCCTTTAGGACTCAAAAGAGGGCTGGATGCAGCAGAACCTCAGAGTCCGACCGCCCGGACGCAACGGCGTCTGGGGGTCCTGGTCTGGGCAAACTTTGGTTGCATTTGTCTGGTTTGTTTTGTCTTTGTTCTTTGTTGTCTTTGTCTTTGTCAAAATGGGTCAGGGATTGTGTGAATGGATTACTGATCTAGGTTATCAAGGGTCTCTAAGGGACTTGTCCTGTATCTGGAGGAATGGCTTCTAGATGTTATTCACCGTCTCTGGGACTTGCAGGAGGGAAGTCAAAACTCAGACCGGCTAAGGGTTCGAGTCTGACCTGTCTTTTAAAAAAGGTAGAAGAGAAGCGTTCCTAGGGGGTTTTCTACTGCCTCTGTCCAGGGACTTGTTCTGTATCTCTGCACAACTGAAACTGGTTTGTTGGTATTTTGTGGTGTCAATGTGGCGCGCGCCGGTGTAAAAGTGTTTTTATGTTTGTTTCTGTTTAGTTTTATTTTCTTTAAAAAAACCCTTCTAAACATCTCCTGAGTTTCCGTGGTGATTCAGAGTTTTTAATGGGGGATGTATCTAGTTGTCGTGTCTATTTAGTCTTGTTTTCTTTGTTCAGTATGAGTACCGTTTCTCTCTGGACGAGACATGGGTCAAGAATCCTGTCCTGGGATGTGAGAAAGGGAGGCCCCCACATCTGTTCTTGTCAGGCCCCCATCAGGGGACCTGGGCAGTGTTCCTGTTATCTGCTCAAGATCCCAAGGCTGTAAGAGTACTTGTTCACTGAAAGGGTGTAAGTGCAGATGTTTATTTGATGTTTGTATGTCTACCTGGGTATAATTATTTGTTCATGTAAGTATGGAAGTCTGCGAGAGAAAAAGAACACAACAACACACATTTAATTTAGGGCGGAGTGCTCTGACTGGTAGCAAAACGCCCCGAGCGGCCGCTGGGTTCTTTTCCCAAGGGTGCTTGCTCTCTGTCAGAGGTGGAATGGGCCTGCCTAACTAGTAAGAATTTCTGTCTATGTTTGTTTATTAGGGACTTGGATTTGCTCTGTGATTTTGCTGTGTTGGGTTGAGATTTTGGGATTCTGGGGTAGATTTAAAGGTATTTGTGGCTTTTCTAGTCTGATTGGGACATTCAGGGGTGGGCTCACAGCTCCTCAGGGCAGAGAGATTTTTATGGGCCCCGCCCCCTGCCTGTGCTGAATTAAGGATCTTTTCTTTCAGGAGACACTCCAGGCTTTTAGTAAAATTCCCCTGCACCCTTGTCATCCTCTGCCTTTTTTTCCATTTCGACTAAGAGTCATTTACCTCCACAGGGATTGTCTTCCTCTAACTCACAATAGGAAATAATACAGGCCAGTGTCATTTGGCTTGCTGGTTAAAGGAAGACAATGGGCCCTGGAATCTGTAAAAGTGGCTGGGAATAAAGCTGGTCAAATGTACTGAAAGGGTTCGGTACCTGTTGTTGCTAGCAGAGGAGGGGCTGATATCCCCTTCCAGTGCACTCCTTGGGAGAGGTCTGATCGCTGCTCTGCCACAGGGGACTGGTACGATGGCAAGGGCCTGGTACCCAACCCACTGCCACAGGAGCGCTTCGTAATATGCAGGGCATGTTTTCCCTGGCCAGCATAAGGGCCGCTGGCCCTCACCATGCCACCGTAGCTGGCTGGAGGCAAGCACTTTTTCCAGGGGGAGCAGAGAGAAAAGGACTGCCAGATGAAAATGCTTTCCCCCAAGGCTCCCCCCGTGGCGGGAGCACCTCCATTCATGACCTGCCTCCACCTATCCAGCTCCCATCTCCCGAGCCCTCTGCTCACTGGGGTTGTAATTGCCTTTTTGATAAAGCCTTGAGCTCGGACCTACTTGCCTTTAGGCAGGAGAATCCAGAATGTACCCTACTCCAGTATGTAGATGATCTTCTGCTGGCAGCAGATACTGAGGAAAATCGTCAACAAGCCACTGAGGGCCTGTTAGGCACCTTACAAGCATTAGGCTACCGGGTGTCAGCGAAGAGGGCACAGTTGTGCTCCTCTGATGTCACATATCTGGGGTACAACATTAGCAAAGGCAGACGGATCCTCTCCCTCAGTCGAATAGAGGCAATCTTATGGATCCCCATGCCTACAACCAAGAAGCAGGTTCGGGAATTCTTAGGGGCAGTTGGACACTGCCACCTGTGGATACTGGGTTTCGCGGAGATTGCTAAACCTTTATACTGAAGTACTTGGGGAACGCAGCTGCTAAACTGAACCGAAGTGGAACAATGGACTGAAGGCTCTCGTCTCAGCACCTGCCCTAGCCTTGCCAGACGTCAGGAAGCCCTTCCACCTCTACGTGAGTGAGGTAAGGGGCATTGCCAAAGGGGTTCTCACCCAGACTCTAGGTCCCTGGAAGAGACCTGTGGCCTATCTGTCTAAGAGACGTGCCTCCGGGCAGCGGCCGCCACAGCATTGCTGGTAAAGGAGGCAGATAAGCTGATTTGGGGCCAGGAACTAGCCCTGACAACACCCCATGCTGTGGAAGCCCTCCTTTGAGATGCTCCGGAGAGATGGATTTCAAACACCAGGGTCACCCAGTACCAAGCTCTTCTCCTGGACCAGCCCTGCATCCGATTCCATAAGACACTGGCCATCAACCCTGCTAGCCTGCTCCCAGATGATGATTTGGAGGAGCCCATCCATGACTGCATAGAGGTAACAGACGCAGTACAAACGGCTCGCCCAGACTTGTCAGATGTCCCGCTATCATCACCAGACAAGGTACTGTTATGTACAAGATGGGAGCCGTTATGTGCAGGATGAAATCTGGTATACAGTGGGCGGTGGTAGTCACCCTAGACCGCCCAAGGAAACCAAGCTGCAGACCAAGCTGCCAAGGAAGCCGCCCAAAAACCAGTGGGACCTTTACAAAGGGAGGAATTGGCAGAACAGAAGCAAGCTACCAGAGGACCAAACGGTTGGTGGACTCTACCAGATGGCAGACTACTGGTCCCAGAGGCTCTAGGTCAGATTTTAGTTGCCCAGTTACACCAGGCTACCCACCTAGGCGTCACCAAGACTTCTGAACTTCTGCAAGGCAGGTACTATGTACCAAGCTTAGATAAGATAATTAAAAGTATAGTCACTAAATGTACTATGTACAGGTAAATGCTAAGCAAGGTAGGGGGGTCCCCCTGGGAATTCAGGCCCAGGAAAACTCCCCAGGAGAGCATTGGGAGGTATAAGTATGGACTCCTTCTCAGGATGGGTTGAAGCCTATCCCACCAGGACAGAAACTGCCTCTATAATGGCCAAGAAATTACTTCAGGAGATTATACCTAGATTTGGGCTACCAGCAGTCATAGGATCAGATAACAGCCCCTCCTTGGTAGCAAAGTATAGCTCAGGTCTTAGGCATGAATTGGAAACTCCATTGTGCATACCAGCCACAGATTCAGGGCAGGTTTGAACAGGACTCTAAAAGGACTTTAAGTAAATTTATCCCAGAAACCGGTGAAAACTGGACCAACCTCCTGCCCTTTGCCTACTTACAGGCCAGGTGTACCCCCAACCGGGAGGGGTTCTCTCCTTTTGAAATCATGTTTGGTAGACCTCCCCCGATCCTGCCCAAAGTTAGGGGAGGAATTGAAAGCTAAAAGTCATAACCATTCCTTGCTCAAGTCCTTGCAGGCTCTGCAGTATATCCAGAGAGCCACCCATAAGCTTGTGTGAGACGCCCTGCCGGTGCCCACCTCGGACCCTTACATCCTTTCCAGCCTGGGGACTCGGTGTGGGCAAAGAAGTTCACTACCCAAGGACTCACCCCAAATTGGAAAGGACTATACATTGTCATCCTGCTGATGGGATCCAGACCTGGCTACACCACTCCCAGCTCCTGCACCAGGAAGTGGCCTGGATCCTAGCAGCCAGCGGCCTCACCCATGAGATCCCTAGCCTGAGGTCCACTCAGGCCAGGAGGAGGCTTGACGCCTGCAGGGGGGGAACTGGACTTCAGTGAGGATAGTACTGACGGGGACCGTGGCACTAGGGAACTTGATAACTGTAAGAACATTTTTACTAGCCAGTGAGAAAGTCCAGGGCCAAGTGGGGCTAGATGTGCTAGGGGACAGGAGAGCAGGAACAGAATAGAGAATGCCCCTAAAAGACGTGGGGTGAGTAAATAGAACTAAAATGTGCCACGCAGGCAGTTTAGAAAAATTAATTCAGTCAAACTACTTGTAGT